TATTTATTTGAATGAAAAAATAAATAAATTTTTCAAAGTATCAAAGCGCATTTTGTATGTTTTATCGAGAATGGCCTCTTCATTCGAAAATTTAGCTTTATTGTAAGAATTCACCATAAATAATTTTATTCGGAATCGATAAGTACGAATAATGCGAATTTCATTTTTGTTGACACATAAAAAATGAAAAGAAAAGAAAAATTAAAATACCCAACGGCTCACTGTTCGTATTGGTTGTTACAAAAATATTTTTCGATGAATCATCTCCTTTAGCTTCATCTTTATTAGCTTTTTCAGGAAGAATTAAACCATTTGGTGCATTTATCTCAAATCCAGCATTTTTCATTATTTCTTGACGTTTCTTTTCATAATCCGCTAACTAAAACGAAAAAGAAAAAAAACATTAGATCAAAAGGAAAATGTATTTTAAAAAATTATTATTTTTAAAAACCAAACAAAACAGTCAGTGTCTGAATGATAAATAATGCTACTACTGATGAGCCACATTAGCTATTTATTAGTCTCGTAAATGACAGTTTTTTAAATATAAATTGAAGCTATTTTCATACAAAACTTTAATTTTTTGACACTCTTCTTTGCATAAAATCACGAGTGATCGCTATTTGCTGAATAATTACTACATGATGAATTTTCTCTGAATGATAATTTTGAATTTTGTAATTTTTAAGAAATAAGCTTTATAATAATATACCCAAGTATACAAAAATTTGATTACAACTGGTTTTACAGATCGAAATGTAGAAATTCATCGTAATTTATTAAAATAATGATTGTTTTATATTGGTCAGGACAGATTACCAACAATGATGGAAATTTGTTACACTTTTGGTAGTGGTCGTAAGCAGAAATAAATTGAAAGATTATTATCAAAAAAGAAAATTTTATGAAAATGCTAGCAAATGATGAAAATTATCATCGAAATTTATTGGTTATTTAAAAATTCTGAATCCAATTAATTATTGGCAGTTAAGATTAACAATTTTACAAGAAGAAAAATTTTTATCAATATCTTTTAATTCTTTTTTATTACATGTTTGATTTTACAAAATTAACTGCAATGTTGTGGTTGCTATCAGAAGGATAGCAATTTTTTTCCTCATTTTTCCTTAACTGACAGGCGCCATTTTTTTCCCTCACTTCAAATAAAAAAAAAAGAGAGAAAAAAGAAATTGAATGAAACATGGAAGAAATTAAGATATAACAAATAATTAAGATCCCTAAATAATTATGGCTTCCAAAAGCAGATGAATATTGCATAAAATCAAGTTGATTAAAGCTAATTAATTGCGAATATGAAATCAGGTTCCATTAAATCACATTCCATAACATCCGGTTTTGATTTGTTTTAGGTATTTCTATGAGTGTGAAAAGATTGAATGTTTACTTATTAAATTTGGAAAAACTTGAATGAATTTGAGTTAAAATTAATCGGACGAGTGGCAAAACTGACCACACATATTATTTGAAGATATCGTCCATCTTTTAACAGTTGCGCAATTCAAAATATTACATCGCATTTAAAATTTCAGCAAACTTTAAAGTATCTTTTAAAGCACGCAAAATTTTATCTCGTTTACATTCTTTTCCAACTATTCTTAACATATAAAAAATGTGTCAATATTGCTATACATTTTAAAAAATCGAATATGATTTTAAAGCAAGAAAATAATAATGAACGATTTTAATTTAAAGCAAAACTTTTCAAGAATAAAATCAAATTTCCATTCTTCAAATTATCTTTGAAATTCTGTATTTAATTAAAACGACCCCTATTGATGGAATTAAACAATGAAAATTTTCATCAATCATTCAAATCCTGTAGAAAAAAATTTAGGAAACATTTTACAGTAAACCTGTTATTATGATAAAGAGATCTTAAAAATTTTGAATATCAAAAAAAAAAAAAGAATCTTTTGCATTCCACGCCAATCATCGAAATTTGGGAAAAATTGTAGGAATTTAATTTTTTTCAAAGAAGTGAAAAAATAACGAAATTAAAAATGCGAATTTTTTAAATGTTTTATGAGTTAGAATTTGTCCTTGAAAGTTAAGATTTTGTTGTTAAATGATGACAATCAAATAAGAGGTAATATGTATGAATTGTTATTCAACTCCAATTTTATATCATTTGTTTTCTTTTGATTGTAAGTTAAAACTTCCTCATTAGTTTTTTGTAATTTTTCAGAATTTAAATTGTATCAAAATACACTATACAAAAAAAGAAGATGAAGAAAATAACCTTTATAAGAAGACCACTACTGCCCACCAATTTGCTTAAATCGCCAAGATGTGTTAGATTGGCTATCATTGGATATGTTTGAACAGGGCCAAGTAAGGCACCAGTATTAGATAATGGGAATGGCCTGAATAGATTGGTACGCAATGGTTGAAACCAATCTGTGAGTTGAGTGGAAACATCTGAACAAAAGATTAAATTATCAAGATTTTATATATTTCAATAAGTGAGAATTAATTTTTAAAAATTTAAACAATAATTGATTAACCTTTTGCTCCTACAACTTGATGTTTCAATTGAAACGGATTAAATGCGGCTAGCATCGGAATAGAAAATTGCAGTAAAGATGGTCTGAAAATTTATCAATTAGAAATAAGTGAAAATATGAAATTGACAAATAAATATGATCTAAAAATTTTGAATTTTCCTCATTTGAAAAAAACAAATAACAAAAATAAAAATTACTGCGCACTAACAACGAGCGGATCGCTTCTGACACTCTCCCTCTTCGAATTTGCGATCATATGCGGCTGTGAATCTTCCAGCAATTCCTCGGATGAATGTTTCTAAAAGAAATTGAAAGTTTTCCAATCCTTTTTGATCAATGATCACTAAATATCATCGGATAATCATTTTTCTCCGCATATCACAGAAAGAGGAAGAAAAGGAAAGTTTGTCTCTTTTATGGATCATAAAAGATTACATATAAAATTCCGAAATTTCTATTTAAATCTAAATTGTTCAGCATGTTGCGCTAGAAGGATGAAACTTCATGGTGTAAATGATAAGACTGATAATTGAAATTTTAATGATTAATTTTTTCCATACTCTTTTTTGTTGAGATTATCCCTTCTGGCAATGTTTCAAAGATTGCAACATTTATGCAGCAGAAATTTATTAATTATTTTTTCCAAGAATTTAATGAATATCGTGAAATTTTTGGTAATTTTTGATGAGAAATATTTGGTATAATGAAAACGGAACAATGTAAAATAGAAAGTGGAAAAAAAGCAAAATAATTTGGAGCAAAAGAAGAATGAAATTGAAAATATAAACAGAAAAATTTTGGTAAAGTTGAAGTGAAAATGAATTTTGAATTATAAAAACGAGGAGAAAATTTGGACGAAATTTTTGAAACTAAAACTAAGAGTATTTCGAAAAATATTGAAACCGGTAATATGATAATTTATGATGGAAAAAGGATGGTGAGAATAAGAAATCATTAACCCCATTTTATTTTTATCCTATTTCACCCCACAGGATATAATCAACAACGACAAAAAAATTTTCCCCTTTATAACAAATTTTAATCGTCCAAAGATTGTCAATTGTATTTTAATAATGCTACATCATTTTGGTTGTGTATTATAAAACTATCGTTTTTTTTTTTTAATTTTATATCACCTTAATCATTTTGTTGTATTAAATTAACTGATCTCAAAATGTACAAAAATATCTGATCTTAATTGTATTTTGTTTTTACTGTCTCAATTGCATCTTATTTTTACTGTCACAATTTAAAAAAAAAAATCATTCTCCAGTGTTATCTTATTTTGCATACCATACATACCATGCATATTATCTTTTTCAGCCCAAGAATGACCGATTTATAAAATTTAGAAAATTTAAAAATAAGTATTTAAAATTACCTGAGCATAAGTGTCCAAAATAATACAAAACATTGCCATACATGTTAAAGATAACATTTCATTCGAAACAATTGATGAAAAATTGCTGTTGTAACACTTCAGGAAATCGGTTAGCACTTCAGAACTGAAATTACATTAATTTTAGCAGTTTTATTTTAAATTTTTGCTTGTTAACAGGTCATGAACTTTCGATCACTTAAAAAAGTTATGCAATGCTTGGAAATACACTAATTGAACATTAAAAGACTATGAAGCAATGATTTTCTTAACTTATTCTCACGTATATACCCGAAAATTACTTTCACTTTCACATAGAGTTTTAATAACAAAGTAATAGCTGTATATTACAAAAAATTAATGACAAAAATTCACGTATGACATTTTAGATTGATATGAAATTGATAATGCGTGATGTTAATTTTAACAGTGAAATGAAAATTCGCATGCCTAAACAATATGTAGAATAATTTCAGGTAATAATGTGAGTTAGAATTCCAAATAAGATTTCAATTTATATTTGTTTAGTGAGTTAATTGCATTTATTTAGCAAAAATCAAATGCATAATCAAAGATATGAAATATAATTCCAGTTTCTAAATAAAATTATTTCGAATACAAATTGGAAACAATTCAAACAATATAAATATGATCACGTTGAAATAATTCAAATTTTATTATTTCAGCATAATTGTTTTTTTTTTCTTAATGCTGAATAAAATAATATTAATGATTGCTTTGGAATAATTTTGAATTTCGTAATTGTTTTACTCGATTATGTGGTACTACATGGAAAATGATTATCACACCGATTATCTCAATCATACAATATGAGAAAATGAAAGAGGAAATTATAGAAGTGCTGTCTTCGTCCACTATACTACTATATTTTATTGACAGCACGGGTGATGATCGGTTCTTCAAATTGAAAAATCTGGAATCCAAACATCGATTACTACCGCCCTATCTGCGCATATTTCCCGCAGCCAGTCATCATACGGGAAACAGAAATATATATTAGTGAGTTTATCGTTGAGCAACTGATTAAATTAACGTTAACATATCGGTTATCATTCCTTTTTGTGGGCAAAAACAATGTCAATCATTAAAAGAGCGAAATGAAAGCAAATTTTAGATGACTCTCGAACTTTTTCCTAATCAATGATGATAATTATTTCGAGAAAAGTGGACAATTTTTTTACTCTATGCATCATTCTTTGTCAATATTTTAGGTATAACTGATGTAAAAGTAGTTGTGATTTCTTTTGCACTATTGAAATTTTAATTCTCAATTTAATTAATCACATCATTTATCATTTTAATTATCTTTGCAAGCTGGACAATTGCATTGCATTGCTTAATTTTATATTTACATTAAAACAGATGAATGATATCAGACAGATAGGAGATTTCATATTTAAATTCAAAGTGACATTTATAAAACGAGCAGAGAGAACCGCTTAAAAGTCGTTGGGTTTGCAAAAAAGCCTTAAGATTAGAGGCACAGAAAACGCTCTAATGGTCGCACGGCATTTAAAGTAAATTAGGATGGTAAAAAGAAATTCAAAGTCGCCATATAGCAAACTGACCGAAAATCAAAAAAGTTCTATGCAACAATAATGAATGATTACTGATCGATATGTGACAACCGACGAAAATAAATTCTATGCAAAGATGATCACAATGATTGAATGAAGAAAAATCGAAATTACATTTTTTTTTTAAAAAAAAAATCACTATTCGATGAACTCCTGACAATTGATAATTTTTTTTTGAATTTGAATAAAATTCAGAAAATTATGTTTAGAAAATTAACAATAAGTTACAAACGCACGTCAATGCCTGGCACACCATAACATTTCAACAGTTGAGAGCAAACTGAGTTATAATTTTTTTTTCTCTCTCTCTCAATTACCACATCCATCTGATTCAATCGGCTTCATTCATTCATTCATTCATTCATTCATTCATTTATGATAACATTTATTTATTTTGAAGAGAAAATACTTTTTACGATTGCATAAAAACAGAAAAATGCTTTCCGAGAAACTGTATGAATTCTATTAAATTTCAAATTTCATTAAATTCCTGTGTTATAAAATAAACCTTAATTTCTCGTTCGCAAAATTGTTTACTGTTGCATTCTTTAAAAGGAAATAAAAGATGAATAGCTTTTACAATTAATGAATAAAAAGTGATAAATCATGATGAAATTACATTCCACCGCTGATTCACAATAAAATTCTCTCGGTTATCTCAGTTGCATTAATTCGATGAAAAAGTTCTACCCAATGGGCTACATTGGTTTAAAACGAGATCATTATAATTATGTTTGATTTAGCAGAATGACCAATAAATTATCATTAATCAAACATAATTTTAAAGGTATTCAAAATATTTATAGAATTGTTGAATAGAAACCAAAAAGTTGCAAATGTCATAGAATATGTATACATCAATATGATGACAATAAATTTTTCATTAGTTATTAAATAAAAAGTTGAATTAAAATTTTTTCATAATTTAATCGTTTGAATTTGAACGTTGCTTATTAAATTTCTTTTTAAACATCAATGAAAGAGATGATAAATGCAAAGTTGCTAATTTAGATAAATTAAGTGGAATAAGTCGATCTCATTCAACAACAAGAAATCATTTCCCGAACTATGCAAAAAGCCTAGGAATCATTAGGACTCACATATAAATAATAATTTCGAATTATATGATATTCATTTTACTGAAAATTAAATTTGAATATGCTTCAAGCAATAACATAAAAAAAAATGAAATTCTCGTTCACATAAAATGCCGTCTTCTACAAACATTTTCCACTTGCGCTCTAATGGTATTCTTAACAAGTAAGCGCAATTGACGCTTATAATTGTTGAGTGTATTCTCTGAAATTCTTCGAAATAATCTAAATGATGAGTATGCTGACCTCTTGTTCGAAAATAAAGATTTGGCCAACATATATGCTATCAATCACTAATTAAGTTAAACAAAGGACGGCACTAATGTTTTCATTCATTAGTTTAATGAAATTAATAAAAGGTCATGCAGTGGTCATTTGTTTTTCTAAATCTAAACAATATGAGACTTCTGGGAGGGTTCAAGTGATCATTACAGCGTAAAGTTAATTTTTTTCATTTTTATTATAACCTCTTAATGATTCAGAATTTTGTCCACTAAATACTTCCGCAATTAATTAATTACTCAAAATCATATTCTATCAGTGCAACGAAATGCTAACTCTTGTCCTAATCTTCTTCTTTGCTTAAATCAGTCTCGAGGGATCATTTCCTCTGCAAAATATCAATAATTAAAATTTCATTCCAGCTTGATCCATGTACAATGTTTCATTTATCGACAATTCGATTTAATTAAGCAGTTTTCAATAAAACCGTTTTTTTTTCGAAGTTAATTGCTGTCGATTTGATGAATCCGCATTTACTTCAATCGTAAACTGCGCCAAAAAAGATACGCTTGCTTAAACGATCTTATAACTTTAATAACTTAAGAAGCACCTTTTGATGAAACTTGCTAAACTCAATCCTGAACTCATCATTTGACAAGTACATCAAGACATGTATTTCCGATTATTTTGTCAATGTTGATTTAAGAGAAATTTATTTCTTCTTATAAAAGACACATATCATTTGGATTAACAGTAATACTGCATTTTTATTTTTTATGAAAGAAATTTACATAAGACGTCGTGATAACCAAAGCTTCTTTGCTCGCGTTAATTTATTCGCCTGGAATTTACACAGTACACTTTGGCAAAAAAATTTAATTTTTTATGTGGAAAAAAAGATGCTTTAGACTATTTGAAGAAGTAATTCAATAATTAAATTGAGAAAAAAACAATAAGATTTAAGAAAATTTCAAAAATTGCAGTCCATTCACTTTGTTTTCTTATTTACCTATTACAATAGGATTATTTGATTTCTCTAAGTTGTTTTTCCTTGTGAAATGTTAAAATGCTATGCTTAGGCATGCATCAAATATCAGAAAATTTCAAATATTGCAGTCAATTCAAGTATGAAAAATTAAAGCTAATAGATTTAAGTACGAATACGAGCTATTATAAAAGGAAAAAAATCAATAAATAACGAAACATTGGGATAACGTCATATATACAGGGATCTGAAAGACTTGAAGAGCCAAATCTATCTGAAAATTAAAAGAACACATTTATTGTCATATCAAAATATGAGAATAAATGTGTCCTTTTAATTCCATCATTAAAAAATATTAGTGATTTAACAAAATGAGTCAAAAAAATTAAGCTTAATAGATCTTTATCGAGAATTTTGCTACAATTTGGGTAGTAAATTAAAAGTGGCTTTTATGCTCCGTTTTGTTAATTAATGATGCAAAATTATAATGCGTCAACTGCTCGATACGTTAAAAATCTATTAATTATGAAGAAAATTTGAAGGATTATAGTTAAGCAATAGAAAATTTTTTTTAGAATTGAAGAATTGAAAATTTTGAAACATGAAATAAAAAGAAATGTACTTACCCGAGGAAGAAAAACCAGTACCATATATTAAATACAATAAAGAAGATTGGAAATATTACCAATGATATCTGAAGTTATTCAAATTTCATTTTATATTTGCAATTAAAAACTTTAAAAATGATCATATTTAATGTGGAACTTACTCTATCTAATTTATTTGCTGTCCACATTGGACATTCTAAGCAAAATATCGAACAGTTACATCTGAAATTTTTAAAGAATTGCAGATTTTTCTCGTTGTGTAGAAAAAAAAACGATTTTCTGGATGATTACAATTTAAATTTTGAATATTTCCATTTTAGCTGGTAAATTTTATTTTTTCGTTAATTTTTTGCGCATAGAAATTATTAATTATTATATAAAAAAAAACAAACCTAACTGTAATAGTTGACCCATTTCGCCGCATATATCCCACTGCAGCAAGTTCTATCAATGACGCAAATATGAAAGCCATTGAACTTAAAATCCAAACATCAATTGCTGTAACAGGAAAAAAAATCATGAAAGATAGAAACATCGAAAAAGTTAACTTTTAAATATTCTACACTAATACACGTGTAGTTTTACCTTTTACATCACTTGTTTTGGGCAAATTCCTTACAACAGATCCGAACTGGAACCTGAAATAAGCAGCAATAAGCTAAAATAATGAAACGCAAGCCATTATGCTTTATCTATACAAAATATCCGTTCTTTCTTGAAATTAATTTTGCAAATTTTACCATTTATATCATAAAACAATGCTCACTGCTTATTTTATCTTTCCGTCTTCCGATATTTTTCAATGGGAAAATAGTTGAAGATTCTTACGTTAGAGCAAGAAGTGAATTTACACCAACTATCGTTCTCGAAGGAAGATTAGGTCCAACACAAAACGAAATCTACAACAACATGCAATATATTTAGGTCTAGAAGATGTCTTATTTTCTTTTAAGAGATAAATGCATTCTGTAAGTCAGCAAAATTTTTGAATTTCGATATGTAAAAAGTGAATGCAACATTAGCCATATAGAAAGACAGAACGAGCCAAAATAGACGTGACAAATGGCTATATGAAAAGTTTATAGCTAAGGAAAAATTATCACAACATACTGATAAATATCGAATTGATTATACGTTATGAGACCTTCATAAGAGTATAAGATTACTCACTTACTCCAAATTTTTTGTTTCAATTTAAGTAAAAATCAAATATTGTTTACTTACCCATGATATGAATACAGAAATATATGCCGGCACATAAACCTGAAATATTTGAAATTTTGCAAAGTAAGGATTGTAAAAATCAAACCATGAAATTCGTTTTCCTAAGAAATTTTTAATAAAAAAACGATATCAGAAATGCCCTTCGCATCCAAATATTAATACCGAGAAAGACTCGGAATTCATAGGAATTCTCATGGAAAACCATTAAAATTCTTGCATTTTCTTATATTTAATATTTTAAAGATGTCATTTATAACCTGTAATATATAAAAACCATAAAGACGTTGAAATGTGAAAGTGGCAACTAATTCATTCCACATTCCTGGCGGATATAGCTGAAAAAAAAAGCTTTTCAATCGAAAATTTAAAATAAACAATCGTACTGTAGGAGATAAACAGTAGCAGTGGAAATTCGCTGTTATTATAACAGATATCAAAGTGATATCGAAATAGCATTTTTTGGTGCAGGTGCAGAAATAGCAATCAGTAAATCATCCTTTATTTACTTATTGATAGGAGTTTATTTAAAGTAAATAAAAAATCTCTGTGCAAATTTGGAAATTTTTTAAATGAAAATGAGACGATAAAAATAGGAATACAGAATGTTCGTTTAATGTATCCATATTTTTTGTTTTTATTTATCAAAGTATTACAAAAGTTTAGATGATATTCTCTGATCAGAAAATATTATCTAAACTTCTCTAATATTTTAATTGCGAATAAATAACGTGAAATAACTTACTCGTCTAACACTTGATGCTGTATAATTAACAAGTACATAATCAGGTAATGTTATATTTTCCTTCAAAATTGTTATTGGTGGAGCTGTTTCTGTCCATTCCATTGCTACCTGCAATAAGGAAAAGAATCACACCATTTTTTTCTAATTACATAAAATGTTCGACTTAAATTTCATTCCTTATTTTATTTCAAACTCGTAAGTTAACTAATCCTATTAATAGATCCATCAGTCTTATCAGTGCAAGAAAGAAGTATTTCAAGATGTAACTTTAAAAAATTAAACAAAACTGTGAAATATACGTATCATGGTTATTCGCAAAGTACCAAATAGGTTGTTATCAGTATTTCAATAACTACCAGTAATAATTGATTGTTTTTTAAAAGGCGAAAAAAAGAACCTGTTCATAATTATGGTTAAATGATTCGTAAAATAACATACAACGTTGTTTATCGATTGGGAAAGTTCGTAAAGCATTAAAACAAGGACCTGTTAATTTAATCCTAAAAAATCTTAAGCAATTAATAATCTAAAATATCATAATTGATGATTTTCATAAAAAGTAACAATACAGTTTCTGCGTTTTAATATGAATATCTGATAAATCGTAGCAAAAATAACTCGGATGAATACTGCTTACAGTTAAGTTTTTTTGAAATTTTTTCTTTATGTTTACTTCTGCATCATATATTAACCTGGTTCTATTCTTTTTTTCATATTAATTTGTCACGATTAAAAAAGTATCATCATTATTATAGCTTTTTTTTTTTGTTAAAAACAAACCTGTAATTATGCCACACACTACCATCGCTATAAATCTGTAAAAAAATATTACTAAAAGGGCTATGATGGATTGAAGCATCTTTACTATTAACAAAACATGCATGAGGATTCCATATTTGAGACAATATTTTACCACCATCTACCGACATATTCCTGGAATTAGAGAGAATTTCAGCACCACTATAAATTCAAAACTTTGATAAACTTACAATTAAATTCACTCTTCTGAGGAAACAAAACTTGAGCTAATCATTAGTAATTACTTTTTGCATGGATTCATGTGATTATAGGCTAGCGATGGATCAATCCATTTCTCCGTTACATAAATATCCAATTCAAATTCACTTGTTATTTCGATTATTTTTGAAATCTCCTGAACCCAAATCTGAAGCCATAAAAAGATCTTAATTGAGCTAAAAATCTAGAAAAAAACAAACTAAAATTTAGCTTTCCATCTTTGCCCCGTCGTACTGTAAACAAGAAATACCTCGACGGAAACTTGTACATTACTGCCACCAGGTATTTTATGTTTATCATAATCGCGTAATAGTTCGGTAATGATAATTGCATCATTAGCGCATTTTTTATTCTTCTTAATTGGCCATTTCTCCATAATTTGGCCTCTCTTAACTTCATTATTATTCTCCAATGGCAATTCAGAGTACAATGAAGACCTTTAAATCGTTAACAAAATCTAATTTTATACATTAAATGTATTTTCAAATACTTCAGAATTATGTCTAATGAATTATGTTATGAAATTATACTAATTAAAAGTATTGTTGAATAATATTTTGAGAATGGATGAAAAATATGCAATACTGAATTTATATAATAAAAGTGTAAGAATTTATTTCAATATAAAATTATCGATTTGACAAATATCCCATAATTCTGTAGCATCGCTTGGTAAGTTTAATAAGCCAATGGAGTAAATAAAATGTTTCCACGGCTGTTTCTTTTTGAGTATTGTTTTTTTTTTTTTGCATATGCATGCAATATCCACGTAACTGAACGCCTGATAGCAAGATCTTAAGTTAAAAAAAAGACAGCAAAATTGATAATTTACGTATTATTCAGTGGAATTCTGTATTTACTGTATTGTCCACTGACAACTGTACAAGTGCACAATAATGCTAATAACGTCATATATTTCGAATCGAAGTGTCTAAGCTTCGATATACCAGGAATTGATGGTTTTACACACATACAATAGAATTATCTGAAAATATAACGATTTTCTTGTGAAATCCTAAAAATTAATAAAAAAAGTTTTTGGTTAGAATTATATCTAATCGATTTTGAAGTTATAGTAGAAAGTTGCACAATCTTTTGCGACAAATATGTCAGTCATATTTTGAGCAGCGAGCAAAAAAATGATCATGCATAATTCCGTATTATTGTAATAAGCATTTTGTTATAACAAATTTACAATCTTCAGTAGAATACCAATAATTAAAGTTTCATAGAGAGATTTAACAAGTTTTTTTTTTTACATTCTAATTGCAAAAAGAATGATGTAATATTACCTACGCTAATGATCTTCTGGAGATGATCTGCATTGATGTTTGATAGTTACGATGAAAAAAGCACGCTTTTCAAACTTAATCAGCTCTTGAAGATCTGCTAAATAAATCAAAATCATTCGCCTAATATCTGCATAAAGGTCAAAAGCTATTCAAATAACTTGTCTAACCGCTGATACGATTTTTTTTTAAATAAAAAAATGCTTATTCATAGCTCTAAAAGACAAATATCAAATTCAAATTTTCGCTTTCTAAAAGGTAAATGCTCAAGAAATGAGTAAGCATTATGACTCAATAAAAAAACAAACAAACAAAATTCCTTTCAAATAAATTGAATAATGAATGGAGCGTAAAAATTTCGTTCCTGTTTTTACACAACGAAAGCTTTTTACTACCGTGTTTCATCCTCATTTCATATGACGCATTTATAGGGATCGATCTGCGAATTCATCCTCTCTTTCGGTCTTCAATAGGCCATAATGCTCTTTCTGATACTTCTCCCTTTCCTTACTCCTCTCATCATTTTCATGCTAATAAACAAAAGTTAGCCTAGAAAGACAATTTATCTGCTCTATCCCTCTTCCCATATTGCTAGTTTGATTGCAATCTAGAAAAAGCAGCTTTGAAACTAAAATCTAGATGTTTCTTCTGATATTTTTCATGATTAAAAAATTTGATGTCCGTGATATATTCAGGATTTGTTTCTGCGTGAGTAAAATGTAAAGATGTAGCGGATTACATCAACAAATTATTATTTTAATAAGAAAGTCAAAAAATCCGACTTCTTTTGACCGAAGTCGGATTTTGTTTTTTTTTTTAATACATAAATCCTTCGATAAACCCAAGCTTTTATCGATTAGAAAAAATTTAGCATTACCGATTCAGGCGGTACTATGGAAAAGGAGAAGTGTTCAAAGTGGATTATGCATTTTAGTATTTCTTAAGAGTAAAATCTTTTCATAAGATTCTTAAGCGAAAAATTTTAAGTGATGTTTTTCCAAAATGTATTTCCTAAGAAAAAATTTTAAGTGGTTTTTACCAAAATGTAACATTTCAATAATATTTGGCTAGAATTCTCAATTTATTCAAAAAATTTTTAAATGGTTAAGTTTTTGCCAGTTTTTATTTGCAACTTCCGCATTCCACAAAACAATGAGCATTGATTGGAAAGAAAATAATGATGCAAAGAAGAGTTGCCAAATGATTGATCCTAAATTAAATAACCCAATTCATTATACTCTTTAATTGTAACACGTAAACGTGAACAATGTTTGCTTGAATACTGAATAGTTTACAATAAATCGTATAGCTGTCATATTCCTCAGACATAATTTTTCTTTTTTTTATTGCAATATACTCACCCATTTAAGATATTCTGTTACATTTCTACACTTCCATTTGCAGCATAACAAAAAAAAAAACGATTGCGCGGAAAACCAGATCCTCTGAAAACGTATTGATTTGCGTTGGAATAAAATTCACTACACCGCAAATGTTAAAACGCATATAAAAACTTATTAGTCAGATATACACTCTCGTTTTATTTCTTCTTAATATTGTCCGTGATCTTCTCAACAATTATAGACGATCATTTACAATGACTTCTCACGTAGGAAACCATTCCATGCCATTCAGCTGCATCTCAACAACCCAGCGGACATTCACGGATGAAACTGAATTTAGAACTCGAGAAAAATTTCCAGTGGCATGCGACGAATATGCAACTTATTAGCTCTTCTGGATTCCATTCGAGAGCTAATTCGGTTGGGGATTAGATCATGTTAGGATCTCGGAGAATATCTTTTCGGGAGTAGTGTGAAATGGTAATTAGTGAAGTAGAAGGGTTCATAATAAGTGAACTTTTTTAGTAAATAAGGGAATCTGGAATTTTTTGTAGTTGATATAATTAATAAAAGTAAGGGAGAGAGTTGACAAGATAGAGTGGTGATTGAAGAATTGCTAGAAATAATGGTAATATGTGATCTAAAAGGATGAAGGAAGACAATAATCAAGTAAATTAATGAATAATGAAGGAGAGAAGAATCATTAGGGAATACATTACTGTATTTTGTGGCATGTTTAAATTCTCATGAACTACATGCAGTATTTTAGTCTAGCGCAAATATTCGTTCGGCATTGATACAGAAACTATCGGATGATGCTAATTATCTCTTATGGGACTCCATTACATCGTATTTCTATATTTTCATTTGAATTAATTTGATTTTGTTTGTAATGATGCATCAATCTCAGTTTCACACAATAGTAATTCCATTGAGTGCTAGAGTAGAATTTAATTTTTTTTTTTTTTTTT